GGTGCGGTCTTGCCAGACGGGCAGCCAGCGACGGTTCGAGAATCCGACCTAGGGTCTGTGTTCATTAATTTCTTTTTCTGAGGGGAGACGCCGCTCCGCGTCTCCCCTCAGACTCCCCCTCTCGGAGGCACTGCCGTGCGGGCATAGAATGGTTTTTACGGTTTTTGATGTGTACTATACCTCAAAAACAGGGGCTTGCCCAAGCAACCTTAAAATCCCTCTTTGAGGGTTTTAGGGGGTCTGGGGGCGGAAAATGCCGCACCCAGCGGGGGGTGCGGGTCTTGCCAGACGGGCACCCAGCGACGGTTCGAGAATCCGACCTAAAGCCCGCCCCCTAAAACCCTCAAAGAGGGGCGCGCGCATGCGTGACAAAGCCGTCTGCATTTTGGGCTATCAACCTATATCAAACCATAAAATCTATTCTATGCCTGCACGGCAGTGCCTCCGAGAGGGGAGTCGACCGGGGAGACGCGGGCTTAGGGCTTAGGGGCGGCGTCTCCCCTCAGAAAAAGAAATTAATGAACACAGACCCTCGGAAACAACGGAGAGCAGGACCGTCGCATAAGAAATGCTTTCTCTGCACCCTTGAAATTTATTTCGAAAACGTCTATGCTATACCCGCTGTGTGGAGTATTCAATGTGTGGTTTTCCCTGGGTGGTATAGGCGGGTGCTTAGCGGTATGGCTCGTAATATCTTGTATGTCTCTTACGGAGCCAAATGGAGAGGAGCTGCGTGACCCGTCCGTGACAGAATTCCTGGTTCAACAAAAGGGCACACAAGAGATGAAATCGCCTGTACCGGCATATCAAATATCCTCATCTGAGGCCCACGAGGTCGTTCCCTATACTGGCGAGCTTGCGAAGCGTCCCTATTCTTTATCACCATTGGTATGGAGTTTTGGTGGATTTTTCCGCGGAAGCCTCGACGAACGAAACACTTTCATCGTCCCGAACTCCTCTTACACGGACGATTTGGTCGTGTTTGACATAGCGCGTGACTTTACTGGGATTTTTACCGTGGTGGCGCAACGAGACCAATCTAGTCCCCCGGTGTCACAGCTTTCCGAAACGGGTACCATAGGAGGGGGCGCGGCACCTCTTGTCTCGCCGATCGTGGAAAGTATCGAACTAGCTCTCGGGATGCAATACCAGATTCCTTTTCACGTGCGCGCCGTATCACAACTCGTATATTCGTCTAATGCTCGCGGGTACTGGGAGCTGTCTGCGTTGGCGCCATACTATATATACCCAGCAGAACTAGACGAGGGGAGCCTGCGGAGACTGTATTTGAATATGTTTGATCACCGTTTCAGGTGGGCAGGAGGCCGAGAGTATGTGTTTTACCATGCTACCTGATGGTGGCCGCGACCGCCTCACAGGTGATGGCACGTCTGCCCCATCATATGGACATCCGAGCTGTCGTCGACGCGCGTATACGTCGTAATCACATCTCGCTCTCCAGCCGGCTGATGAACCTTGCCTTGGGAGATCTTATTCATATAGAAACTTCTTTGCGTCATATACCGTCACCGACGACGGGCTGGTTTGGTCGTTCTCACGCCCTATTTCTGCATGCCGATGGTATATCCATGATTCCCGAAAGACGAGATGTTTTACATTACGGCGAAGGGGCGGAATCTCGTTCCCATATGGTCATGTACAATCACCGTATGCGCACCATGGTGGCGGGCGATATATCATTTTCTACTTCTCACCAACTGCCCCAGGATATGTGGTCAACCGGTTTCCGAGTAGCCGCGCCGCCGACAGGGGGATGCGCACTCCGGGTAGGCTACCTTGTCATAGATGTGTTACCGGTGTCTTTGTTCTCCGCGGACGTCACCGCATCTTCTCCCACGACCTTCCCGCATGATGCGCAAGCTCTGGGTATCCCAATACGACTTCGTGTTCGTACACCCTGCCCCTAGGGTCTGTATGAGGTTTGCGGCTTAATATTTCTCTGAGGGAGAGGGGGCACGATCCTCAAAAAGGCATCGAAACCTCGCCTTTCGCGCAGGACGCAGTAAGGAGGAAACCCATGATACGGGTACTACTAGTAGCAGGGTTGGCCGGTAGCTCTTATGCCATCATGGCTGAGCGGTCAAATCAGCGCAACCGCGGTTACGCCAACGCCGGACGTCTACGTGGGGGATACCGGCGAAGTACGCGTGCGCGTGGAGCTTTTGGGGGCGGCAATAACCCCCAAAAACCAACGTTAGAGCTTCCTTACAATACCAGGTCTATCGCTTCAAAACCGGGGGTTTCGCAGCAGTTCGTTTTCATTTCATAGTAGCGGTGCCGGAGCGGTCTCACGCCAAACCCTCGAAGCCACTATATCTGTTTCCCCCGAACGCTCGGGAACATACACGATTGGGCCCATCCCGTCCATATCGGCAGCGAGCGCGTGACGACCAATCCCGTTACGATCACCGTGCATGCTCCTCCTACCAATGCGCATCAAACACGCCTGAAATTGACCGTATCGGATACCCCTCTTTATGTGGGGCAATCCGCTATTGTAACGTTGTCATGGTTGGTACATGCGCCCCTATACGACCGGGGGACCAGGCTCGCCCATACGGAACTACCGTTTACCAATAACCAGGATATAGAAGTTATTGACGCCCAAAACCAGAAGACTCCCATGTCTCAAGTACGGAAAAGCGTCCCGGTCTACCGAGAGCACGATGTCATCGAATCAGGCGAGCCGTTTCGAGCTCATACCTGGAAGTTCCGCATAACACCGGCGCAGTCGGGGACCATAACATGGAAACCCTGTTTCATGGAAAGTCATATACCAAGATCAAGGACGCCAGAAACTCGTTTACGCGCACCTCCCGAGCCGGGATATCCAAGTATTGGAGCTTCCGCCTGGAGCCCCTCCGATTTTTTCCGGAGCAATAGGGCAGTATACCATCGCCACCGAGACACTCCATACTCGCGTCAAGCGGCTCGATCCGATCGAGTTGTACGTGCGGGTACAGTCCAAGACGAGGCGCGGTTGGATCGCGTGCTCGCGCCAATACTCGATTAATTATGCTCCGGTGTCAGATCATTTCCGGACAATGCCGACGTCTGCCCCGCCGCGCATTACCGGCAACCGCATGGTGTTCCGGAGGACTATCCGTCCTCTGAACGCAGGTACGCAAAATATGCCCTCCTATTCCGTTCGCCTTCTTTAATACGAAGACTCGACAATACGAAACCGTATACAGCGAACCCATTCCGATCCAGGTCGCGGAGGGCTCCGTTTCCCATGCTCATGGGGATTCCTATAACACCGGAGGCCCCCCGCGTAGCAATGATGTTCGAGTCAATAAAATGACGTTACCGCTACCATATCACCAGCGGGATCGTATTGCTGATGAACGGATATCCCGGTTATTTCTCGGTATGCCCATTGGGTTCGGAGTATTGTACCTTCTCTTTCTTCTTGGGATGGCTCGATATCGCGCCGCTTTCCAGGACACGTCTGAGCGGGTGCGGCAACGAGTGTGGCGGCGAGCGGAAAAGGTCTTGAGCTCTATTCCAGAAGCGCATACCCCAGAGGAGGCACTGGGAAAAGCATTACAGGCCATATCTCTCGGGGTTCAAGGGAAATTTGGGTCGGGTGGTGGCGAAGTCACATCTTCCGATGTCCAAAAATGGCAGTCTCGGGGTTGGATCTCCTCCGAAACAGCCCAGGATATGGGAAAACTTCTCCATACTGCCAACCGCGTCCGCTTTGCGCATGATAACGCTGGACTCGACACACAAGACATCGTCGCCATCACCAAGCGTATCATGCCCGCTATACGAAAAGGCGCCTCCTAGGGTAGCGCATTCATTAAATGCCCCCGTTTTTATCTGAGCCCTCTGCCCTGTCGAACTCCCACCAAGGGGACTCCGCACCCCCTTGGATCCCCTACGGCACTGCCGTACGGGCTCTAGGTGTTCATAAAACCGGCGGATATGCTTTTCTGGGGGCTCTGCCCCCTACGGAAAAGAGATTTATGAACGTTGCCCATAGTAACTTTATCCGAGTTCGATTGCGGTACATCGCTATTGTGGTGATGGCTGTCTTGGTTGGTCTTTTCTGCGAGTTCATTTTTATGGCAGCGTTGTATCTGATCGCCTCGGTAATAGAAGGTCCCCAGCCCCCCCATCCCCATATCAGCTCCGGTTTGGCTACGCTATCGGATTTTTTAGATATAAAACTCGACCACGCGGTTCTATCGGATGCTACCGTTATTCTTGGGGCCGCTGCTGGTGCGGCGGTATGCCGTGCTGTGTCTATGTACGTACAGGAGTATGTAACGTCTTTGCTGGGAGCTCGGGCGGCCTTAGAGATTCGGTCCGCTGTCCAAAAAAAAATATGGTACGCTCGATTAATCCACATACAAGACTTTCACAGCGCTGCGTACAACTCCATTATGCACCACGATGTGCGGGTTATTCAAGATTTTTACCAGCAGGGCATGCTGGGATTTCTACGAGATCCGGTGACGATCGTGGCCATGCTGGCTGCCATGCTGTGGATTGATGCGTCCTTGGTGATCTGGATTGCATTTTTAGGAGGAGGTATTGTTGGTGGTGTATATTTTCTGGGGCGCATAGTGCGACGCCATGAAGCTATTTTGCTCCGTAAAACAGGGGACGCCCAGGCCACACTTCAAGAATCCCTACTGAATATGCCCATCGTACGGCTATACGGCGCTCAAGTATTTGAATATAACCGCCTCAAGCGCGCCCACGCCCACCTATACGATACCGAAAAGCATTTGCACCGGTCTCGCGCTTTTGCTACCCCAGTAGCCGAGTTTTTAGGTGTTGTTATTGTCCTGATTCTGTTGGGAATGGGGGTATACGGGTCCGTCCATGGGGAAGACCCGTTGCATTTGGCCTTGTTAGTTCCTTTTCTCTTTGCCACTCTACGTTTAGCTGCGCCGGTACAAAACGTATCGAAGACTTATATGCTAGCGAAGCAGGCCCAAGCTGCCCGGTTGCGCATCAGTCGCATTATGTCTTTCGACGAAGAGCCCAAAGGAAACGATGACCCATCGGGAGATACCGAGGGGCTACATCACCGGATATCTCGCACGGAACAGGATTTGTCTCGCGGGGCCGCTATTTCATTTCGTGGCGTATCTTTCCGCTACCCAGGGTCCACGCAGGACCAACTTCACCACGTGTCTTTTGACATCGAGTCTGGGGAATATGTCTGTATAACGGGCCCTTCTGGAAGCGGAAAAAGTACGATTATGTGGCTGATTGGGGGACTTTTTTGTCCTCAACGTGGCGCGATTCGCGTGGGTGAATGGTGGCTTGGAGAGCATAACCAATCGATTTTACGGCGTATAACCAGGGTAGTGCCCCAGTCCTCTCATCTTTTTTCAGGTAGCGTGAAGGAGAATGTGGCATATGGAAACCCGCTATTACTATCCGATAAGGACATTTGGAAGGCATTGGATATGGCCCGGTGCAACTTTGTCCACGAGTACGCGAAGGGGATTGACACCCATATCGGAGAACGAGGCCGTTCCCTGTCTTCTGGACAGCAACAGCGTTTAGCGTTGGCCCGTGCGCTGGTGCGGACGCCACGAGTTCTTATTCTGGACGAGTCCACCAACGCGATTGATAGTGAGTCCGCGGAGCATATTCATAATAGCATCATGGAGCTCGAGGATGTGACACGCATATTTATATCCCATAGCCCGGACGTCATAAACCAGGCTACACGTGTTTTAGAAGTGACACGCGGGCGCGTGTCGTCGGAGAGACACCACACATCGAGAGATGAAGGTTATACCGATTTGAGAACTTCCTAGGGGATGAGCGCCTTGAGGGATTAATACCGCTATATAGAGCCCTCCGGGGAGAGCCCTCAGGGGAGAGCTCTATATCTTTATATTACATCCTCCCAGAGAGACGCTGCTCCTCTCCTAGAGTCTCCCCCTCAGGGGGAAGACTCTCTATTACTAAATGAAAAAATATAAATAGAATCTAGGCGACGGAAGGGAGAGGGGGGCATAACGGCTATGGATGATAGTGCCACGAGCTCTTTGATAGAGTGGTTTTCACGAGGACAAAGGGTATTGCCTTGGAGGGGGGCGGACCATCCATACAAGATATGGGTCAGCGAGGTCTTACTTCAACAGACGCATGCCCGGATGGCTACGCCTTACTACGAGCGCTTTATTACGTTGTTCCCGACGGTTCATGATCTCGCGTCCGCACCCCTTGCCAAAGTACTAAAAGCCGCCGAGGGAGTCGGTTACTATGCGCGGATCCGGAATATACACCTAGCGGCTCAATCCATCGTAGAGTTCCGAGGTGGCGAGCTACCGCGCACTTACACCGAATGGCGCACTCTTCCGGGGTGCGGATCCTATATTGCCGCGGCCGTGGCAAGTATTGCCTTTGGGCAGCCCGTCCCCGCAATGGATACCAATGTTTTCCGGGTGACGGCCCGATACTTTGGTATTCCTTCTGACATTACCAAACCCGCCACCAAAAATCTGATCCATGATTATTTAGCGAAATCGATTCCCAAGGACAAACCGGGTGACTTTAATCAAGCTATGATGGATTTAGGATCTTTGGTATGCACCCCAGAAAACCCAGATTGTCCATCGTGTCCACTACGGGGTACATGTTTTGCGGCGGCGCGTGGACAGCAAGCCGACTTTCCTAAGCGCACCGCATCGCGAGTACGTCCCATTCGACATCTTGGTGTTGGGATTCTGGCTGTCGGTGAGGATGTCTTGGTAAGACAACGAACCACGTCTGAAATGTTGGGGGGACTACATGCGTTTCCATTCACAAGCTATCGCTCCGAGATGTCGGAATGTGCGTGCGCACGCCAGGCTATTCACAAGCTAACGAGCTGGGACACATCGAAACTACGCACATCTACACCTGTGTGGACCATACAACATGGTTATAGCCATTTTAAAGTGATATTGCATGCTATGTTGTACCAACAATCCGAACGCCCGCCCGGCGAACTCCCAGAGGGATGCAGCTGGGTTTCTATCAAAAATCTGGGCGATCTTGCATTTGATCGGGCCCACCGGAAGCTCGCCGACATGCTACAAAAAGCCACCGCGTGATCGCACGACCACCTCCGAGGAGACATATGCTTGCCGTAGAGAGTTTAGATTATTTTGCGCTATTCCAACTGCCACAGTCTTTTCACGTGGATCCAGAAGACCTTCGTACCCGATATGTGAAGCTCGCCGAATCGCTTCACCCGGATCAATATGTCACGTACGGGGACCAAATGATGGCTCGCGCCGAGAATGCGACCATGTACGTCCATGAGGCTTACCGAGTCCTCCAAAGTGATCTACTGCGGGCGGCATACATGCTCGAAATAGCGTCGATACCTTCCACGCGCGCCACAACCCTTCCCCCGGAATTCCTCATGGAGATGATGCGGTACAACGAGGTTTTCGAAAACGAAGACCATCCGGATAGGGCAGAAGCCGTGCGCGACATCGAAGCCCGCTGGGATACACACATACAGAGCCTGGGTGAAGAGTGCAACCGCCTTCTGAGCGCGAAAAGCCAGGATCCAGAACCGCCACTGGCCCAAAACATTCAAGATCGCCTGGCCATACTACGCTATTTAAAACGTATTATGCATAAACAGCCCTAGGGTCTGTGTTCATTAATTTCTTTTTCTGAGGGGAGACGTCGCCCTAGGGTCTGTGTTCATTAATTTCTTTTTCTGAGGGGAGACGCCGCTCCGCGTCTCCCCTCAGACTCCCCTCTCGGAGGCACTGCCGTGCGGGCATAGAATGGTTTTTACGGTTTTGATATGTGCTATACCTAAAAACAGGGGCTTGCCCAAGCAATCTTGAAATCCCTCTTTGAGGGTTTTAGGGGGAGGTACTGCCGTACGGGCTTTAGGTCGGATTCTCGAACCGCCTCTTACGCCTGTCTGGCAAGACCCGCATCCAGCGGGGGGTACGGGGGCAGAGCCCCCCAAAACACGTCCCGGGTTTAATGAACACAGACCCTAAGCCCTAAGCCCTAAGCCCTAAGCCCTAAGCCCTAAGCCCGCGTCTCCCCTCTCGGAGGCCCTGCCGGCTTAGGGGGGGCGGGCATAGAGTCGATTTTATCATTCTGGCACGTTCTATGTCCAGAAAGAAAGGTCTTGCCCAAGCAATCTTAAAATCCCTCTTTGAGGGTTTTAGGGGGGCTGGGGGCGGAAAATGCCGCACCCAGCGGCGGTTCGAGAATCCGACCTAAAGCCCGCCCCCTAAGTCGGCAGTACCCCTCAAAGAGGGGCGCGCGCGTGCTTGGCAAAGTTCTTTGCTTTTGGCTATAGAACATGCCAAAACTATAAAACACATTCTATGCCGCACGGCAGTGCCGCTGGGGATCGCTTGGGGGTGCGCAGCCCCCTTGGCGGGAGTCTGAGGGCAGAGCTCTCAGAATAAAAAACAGGAAATTTAATGAACACAGGCCCTAAACTATTGCCGTTTTTTACGCTGGGTTTAGGGTATTCCCGGTGTCTCTTGCGGTATAGAACTCGCCGCACCGCATGATATTGGGGCGATTTTCCCGTGAGGGCATCGATCCAGCTGGCAAACCAGGTAACCAGACTTGTGGCCCCGCCGGGTTATAACAAGATGGAACGACTTCGGGCATAGCTGATATAATCGTCATCTGAGTAAGTATTCACAGCCAGGTTATGGTATATCCCGCCGATCGCAACGAGAGATACACTACTGACAAACGCTGCTAGGAATATAATCCCGTGGGGGATTCGCCGCTGGTATATTGACCCCATCCCCGGGAAAATGGTATTGAGCAGAAACCCTTGCCAGCGGCGGCGGGGTGGCATCGTCCATCGATCAATGTAATAGAGTAACGCGCCGCGCTGGTGGGATGGTATAGTCAGCGTTTCTGCGAAACGCTCAGACTCCAAAGACCGCAAAGCACTAATCCAAAAAGCGGTCTCTACCAATTTGGCATGACGCGCCGCCATCTCCGCCGGAAAAGAACTTCCCGAAAAAGCGGACGTATCCTTCAGAGGGGCCATCACGCCTGCTCCCTCCGGTGCTGCGAGTAACGTCAGAGGGCTTCCGGTCATCCATAGCCATGCCCACACCGCCACCAGTGGCATTATTCCGAAGTGGGGTACGGTACGGCGAGATTGTGGACTTTGCACACACTCTATATTCCCTCTAGGACCTTATAGACACGCGTATTTTAGTCGTTGATGCGGTCGGATAGCGATAGCGATGGACCGTAACGAAGTCGCCGTAGTTGTCGATTTGTCACGCGTGAGTCGGGCATTGTTCGCCACTATACGCACACGGGGCGGCTCTTCCAGTTCTTCGGCCCGCACCGGCCACCACCACCAGTACTTCCAGCCGGGTATCCATCCCGCGAGAAGATACGTTGCCGACAAGCCCTACGACGCCCCAGGGCGACGGACACGCACGACTTACAAAAGTAATACAATACGCTACGTGTGGTAGTGTGCCTCAAAGTCGATGTCATGGGTTTAGGGTCTGTGTTCATTAATCTGGGATAGATTTTGTGAGGGCTCTGCCCTCATACTCCCGCTGGGGACCCTGCTCGGGTTCCCCAGACCCCTCCGAGCCCTCAAAGAGGGATTTTAAGATTGCTTGGGCAAGCCCCTGTTTTTAGGTATAGCACATATTAAAACCGTAAAAACCATTCTATGCCCCCCCTAAGCCGGCAGTGCCGCAGGGGATCGCTTGGGGGTGCGGAGCCCCCTTGGCGGGAGCCTGAGGGTAGAGCCCTCAGAAAAAGAAATTAATGAACACAGACCCTAAAAGTACCAACTAAGCCCCATAAGGAAGTCAATCCCGATGTTGTCGCGTTCCAAAGATGGTTCGACGGCGTATCCGTAGAGTCTTCTCGCCGTCAGTTCGGTGCCTAATTCCAGGTAGAGAGGTATGAGGATATGCTTTGTCGGGCTTGATTGTATCGTTCGCTGGTATCGCTGAGCCTATGTTCTTCTTCTTGCACGGGGAGGGTATCGCGATAGGGTTTGCGTAGTATGCGGCGTATCCAATTGCTTTTCCCGAGGTCCCAGGCCATAGATACCCCAACAGACGGGCGAAATAGTGGTCGATTTCCCGAGTTTAAGTCATCCTGTATAAAAGTACCGGCCTCGATTTGTACGGACAGCGCGGGGATGTCGCTCGGTACGGTGAAACCAAGCTTAAACTCGGTGTTGTGGAATATCCCTTCTTCGGATCCGTACAGCGACGGGATAAGATTTGGTTCGGCATATTGGCCAAAGTCCGAGGCTTGTAAGAGTCGGTCGGCAAGCAAGCGTCCGGTAAACTGGCTACGGATACGAACCGAGTCGATCACCCCGAGGCTGATTCTCTGAACGAAGCGGGATAGGGTGGTGGTAAAAAAACGCATTAGTCAGATAATCGACGGCATACGAGGCGTTGGTAATGCTCGTCACATCGGAGGCTACGCTCTGATCGGGTGTACGGGCGTATCTCTGATCGGGAAGCGAAGGTGATTCGCTTGTCCGCACGCCTTCTTCATCCGCATGAGGCGGAGCGCTAATACGGGCTCCAAGTATTTCCGGAAGGCGGCTTGTATCAATGCGGACGGAGGACATATGCTCCAGTATCACCTCTTCCGAGGTGATACGGTCGATAAAGTCATGATATTCAAATCGGATGCGGGCAGGAAGTCCATTACGGTCCTGTCGAACGGCGAATGCATGCATATCCAGGAACGGGTTTTCTGCTTCGGCACCTTCTTTGCTAAAGTCAACTTGAGCGGAGAATACGCGAAAGGACGTACCATAGTAGTCGAACTT